CACACACACACACACACATATATATATATACATATACTCTACATATTATTTATCTTGCACATTTCTTTATTTCAAGTGGTACTATCATTATATTTTGTATACTATCATTATATGTTGTATACGAATATGATCATATATTAATTGATATTGCAAGTACGATTTAAACTTTAGATTTTAATAATAATTTCAGTCTGTACCTTCCATTTCGATTGATCAAATTCGACAGGATTTTCTCCTTCTTCCCTTTGCTTCCTTTCCCAATCTTCACTGCCGGATACAAATTTAATGAGCTACGCGAAAACTTTGAAAGCAGGAATGAGACAGTATCAAATGAATATGTAAGCATCATGTGACACAGTTTTGGAAGTTTTAACAGAATTATAAAGTCAAAATTCTATTAAATTTGAAAATAGGTAGAAATTGAAAATTTATTTTTAGACTGTTCTCATTTTTTTCTTACAAATGACAATGAATATTACAACAACAATAATATTTAATGATCTGACAAATATATCTAATGATCTGATAATTTCTAATAACTAAACAGTGTACCATTATTTCAAGATTTATTTTACACTTTTATATGATTTATTGGACAGATATTTTACTTTCTGATATTCTTTACAAGTTTTTTAAGAATACGAAAATATCATGTTTTTAAGGAAAAGGTACAGAACAAAACTATACGACGCAAGAAACTTTTTACATGTCATTTCTCGCCCCTGACGTCATAATTCAATATGGCTGCAGAGAGACAACCGAGCCTTAAAATCAAAATGTAGTTTTATATTTATTGGGTTGGAAAAGTCATAACATATTTTTTTCTATGTATATTTTTCAAAGATCATTATTTATATAAATAACAAAGATCAATCAACGATATATTGCCCGTTTTGTTCGATAACCTTTTGCCATCTTTCAGTGAGTTTCATAATTCCTCGTTCATAGAAGGACCTGTCTTTATCGGCGAAAAACTGAACAAGATGCTGATTTACAGCTTCATCTGAATTAAACGTTATACCATGCAAGGAGTTTTGAAGAGAGCGAAACAAGTGGAAATCTGACGGCGCAAGATCAGGCGAGTATGGTGGGTGTGGCAACACATCCCATCCAAGCTCCAATAATTTTTGACGGATGGCCAAACTTGCGTATGGTCCCGCGTTGTCGTGATGGAACACAACTCCTTTACGATTAACGAGCTCTGGACGTTTCTGGATGATGGAGTCGTTCAAACTATCCAATTGCCGACAGTACACATTCGAATTGTCGATTGTTTGGTTCCTTGGTAGATCCTTTGGTAGGAGCTCGAAAAACACGACACCTTTAAAATCCCACCACACTGAGAGCATAACCTTCTCCTGAATGTTTGCTTTTGATGTCGATGGCGAATCATCAAGTCGGGACCAAGACCGTTTGCGCATCATATTGTTATAAACAATCCACTTCTCATTACCAGTTATCAGTCGCTTCAAAAAAGGATCATTTTTCTCACGTTTAATGAGCATATCGCAAATGTTTATACGCGCCGTCAAATGAACTTCTTTGAGTTCACGAGGAATCCAAATATCGAGCTCGCTTACGTATCCCAGCTTCTTCAAGTGATCGTGAACGCTTGAATGATGGATGTTCAATGTTTCTGCAATCTCTCGTGTCGTGTAACGTGGGTTTAACTCGATCAATGCCTTTATTTTGTCATCATCAATCTCGATGGGCCTCCCTGATCGAGAAGCGTCGTTGAGGTCAAAATCACCAGCACGGAATTTCGCGAACCATCGTTGGCACTGACGTTCTTGTAGAGCATTGTCACCGTAAACTTCACGCAACTTTTCACAAGCTTGACACGCGTTCTTTCCTTTACGAAAGTAAAATAGCAATATATGGCGAAAATGCACAGTTTGGTCTTCCATCTTCAACTTACTATAAAATCTCCAAAACTCAACCAAATCACTCAATTTTTTTTGGAATGAAGCTAAAACTGTTAGCTGTCAAATGATTTAGCAATAACATAGAATGCGAATGACTAGTATTTTCAAAAATGGATTAGCGCCATCTGTTACAAAAATACGTCATGACTTTTCCGACAACTCAATACATTATCAACAAAACATTTGGATTTTTTTTTTTATCTTGCTTTGTACTTTATTATTTCAAGATTTATTAAAATCATTTCGTATTTATTCTCTTTTAATATTTTTCTTTCTTTTTTAACATTTCTATGTTTTACAAAAATGCAATTTAAAAAAAGGATTCGTTAAAAACTTTTTTTCATTTCTAATGCATTGTTTTCTTCTTTTTGTTATTCAAGCTATCCAAACTTCAAACATAACGAATTAACGTTGCAGACCAATTATTAAAATTTAAACTATTTGAACCATCCAAACTATTTGAACTTGACGTTCATCTGTTTTTTTTGCTTTGATAATATTCGAATAGATTCGAACATAACAATACAATTCGAATTCTTTTACATTTCAATTCGAATTTGATATGTTAAATTAAATATTTCATTGGCAAACTTGGAATCTTTAGAGAAGTGCGTGAATTTGTCGCGTCTTTTTTGTCTTTTGTCTTCGATTACATTTTTACAGTCCAAGCGCGTTGTGCATTTTCGCAATGAAACTCGCGCAACGCGCGGAGGCAACGCGCGAAGCGAAATCTGAATTACCGAAGGAGCCTCGCACCGTCGGACCTTCGCAACGCGACCGCGTTGGGCAACGTCGCCTCGGCGAGGCATGCCGTGAAAACATATAATTCACACGTGTACACGCGTGCATGTATATGCAATCGGTGCAATACGTCACCCTCAGCCGCGTTCAGCCGCGCTCCGACGATGATTAACGGTGTCGCGAGGAGTGTTGCGAAGTGTTAGTCGCTTAAACGTAAGCGCGGTTGACAGTCGACATGGCTCGTGTCGCGGGACGTGCCTGCGTTTTTATCGCCGTGATATTCCTATGCGTGAACGCCGGTCGTTGCTCACGCGAGAAAAGGGAGGATGTGAGGACCGACGATTCACCACCGGTGCCGGTGGTGCTGTGGCACGGAATGGGTAGGTCCTTCGTCATCATTTCCCTAACGCTCTACTTCCTCTACTTCCTCTACTTTCTACACTTAAACGCTCCGCTTTCGTCCGCATTATATTTCTCCCCCCCGCCCCCCCCCTCTGTAAGGACGACGTTTGCTATTATTTCCGCTATGCAATTAGTGTAATTACAAGTAGTCGAGTTCAATGTTCTTCGCGTTTGCGACGTCCTCGCGCAAATTAAGTCTAATCGACGAATTAAGTCTAATCTCAGTTTGAAGAATGTTTCTGTAATTGTTTTTGAAGTGTTTATTATGGGGGAATCGTATTATCAGTGTTTGTTATGTACTGTGATATTCCCATTAATTCGCTTAAGAGTAAAGGGAATTTCTCAGAGGCTCTCTGCGATTACATGGATAAATGTTAGTTGGCTCATGAAAGTATATTAAGAATATTTCAAGTCGCAAAGAAGATAATTGCTGAATTTTAGAAAACTTTGCAAAAGTTCTCTGTTCTTTAATTCAACATTTCAGATAGCAATCTAGAAATTACTGTTTTAAAAAAATACATCTATTGATATATTTTGATCTATTGATATATCATGATAACAACACTTGTATATAAATAGAAAATTTTATTTACTTGTTACTTTTGTTATGACTGAGAATTATTAGGGGGATTTATATATACTTATCATTTATTGCAGATGTAAACATTATGATATCCTTGTTATTAAAAGTAGAAAAAATTTCAGAACATAAGTTTCTTCAGGATGACAAGTGTGGCTAAATAATTAAATTAAATTGGCTCATAAAATATATATTTTAAGTTGCAACGAGGATAGCCTTTAAATTTTACCTTTATAAAAATTCTTTATTCCTTAATTTTGCATCTCAAAAAGCTTAAATTCATAATCTAATTGTAAAATTCTATCTTTTTAGAAATATTATATATGTTAATAATAATATTTGCATGCAAATGTAGAATTTAATATATTTCTTGAGTTTTACTTTCACTATGACTAGAACTATTATCCTCGATACTTAGCTTTCCAGCTTTTAATTGTTTAGTCTCTGACATAACGTGGCTAATTTTGTTACAAAGGTGAAAGCATATCTTTTGCAGGTGATAGCTGCTGTTTCTCTTTTAGTCTTGGAAAGATTCAACAGATTCTTCAAGATGAAATTCCTGGGATTTACGTTCATTCCATACGTATTGGAAATAATGAGATAGAGGTTGGACATAATCCATAACAATTTCAAAAGTATTTTTCTATTAAAATATCCTCTATAAATATAAAATTTTTCTATTTTCTCATCTTCTTTATATATATCCTTGTGTTACAAATATTTATATATTTATATTTATATATTTATAATTCATTTATTTTGATAAACACTTCCTCAATATAATTTATTAATTAATTTATTATAAAAGAGTGTGTAATGATATATTATTTGTCTTGCAATATCATGCTGTTATTTCATATTTGTTTTAACGCAACATTAAGTTATAATATCCTCTCTTATAGGATGTCGAGAACAGTTATTTTGGGAACATTAACGAGCAAATAAAATATGTATGTGAACAACTATCGCAAGACCCAAAGCTCCAAAATGGATACAACGCCATTGGCTTTTCTCAAGGGGCACAATTTTTGTAAATCGTTCAATTTATTACAGTTGTTTAATTTTGCAACGTTTGGATTTTCAATCGACTTTCTGTGTCGTTGCTCTCTATTTTAGGAGAGCAGTGGCTCAAAGATGCCCTAATCCACCGATGCTGAATCTGATATCTTTAGGCGGTCAGCATCAAGGTGTTTTTGGCATACCAAAGTGCTCAGATACATCCCGATTGTGCAATTACATGCGTCGCATGCTTCATCATGGTGCATATCTATGGTATTTATTCTCATGATTATCGAAGTCATTAGCACTGTTTAACGAAACGTTCTCCATTGTTTTAATTTTTTTCTCAGGTACATTCAAAATTCATTGATACAAGCTTCTTTTTGGCATGATCCTGTACAGGAAGATGAATATCAAAAGAAAAATCTTTTTCTTGCTGATATCAATAATGAGAACACCATCAACACGGTACGTGTATTCCAATACGATTGCATACGTGTATCGTAATCATATGGGAATTTTAAATTTGATTTGAAGATAATATATGTCTAATGAAGATAATTTATATTTAATAAATATGAATAAAATCCGAGACACGTCTTATGTCGTGAGTAATAAGATTACGATATTATATAATGTCCATCGCGTAATATAAAATTTTAAGTTATTAAAATTATGAAACAAAATAAAAATTATTAAAATATTAATTATTTTTTATTTACATTATATTGCGATAGGAATACAAGAACAATCTTCAGAAGCTTCGAATTTTAGTTCTTGTTAAATTCGAGAACGATACAATGGTCGAACCAGTGGAATCAGAATGGTTTGGATTCTACAAACCTGGCCAAGCGAAAGATGTGCAGAAATTGCAACAAAGCCAATTGTACCAACAGGTATATACGCGATCGATTTAAAAATACGATCGTTTAATATATATATATATATATATATATATATACACACACACACACACACACACATATATATATTGATCTATTGTTTGTAGGATCGACTTGGATTACGTGCAATGGAAATGTCCGGCAAAATTAATTATCTTTCACTACCTACCGATCATTTGCAATTTACGGCCGATTGGTTTATTGAAAATATAATTAATAAATATTTAATATAATTTAAAAAATGTATCTATAAAAATTTTAAGAATTCCAAAATGTAATGTGAATTAAATGATACAGACTTATACATATACGTATGTATTTAGTGTAAAAAAAACAAATATTTTAATAAAAAAAAATTATTCATCATATTTTCAACTCCTTTCTTTCTAATTTCCTATTTTTTATTTTGTCGATCACGGGTGATTTAATTTGTAAATTAAATATCTTTTCATTACTTAATTAGCAATTTTTTCCATATTCACAATTTTAATAAGATTCATGATAGTAATGAAATACTCGCTGCGTTAGCAAATTAAACTTAATGTATTTCATTCTGGTATATTATTTCACATGACGATGCAATAACAACCGAAGAATATTGCGAAAAGGATACACGATGGTTTTTTTTCTAGGATATATTGGGGGAAGGATATAATTTGTGTTGTAATTGAAGAGTGAATCTTCAACGATAAAAGAATGTTATTGTATTCTTTTGAGGCGTCGTTTGAAAAAAATAGTTTCCTTAAAAAAAAAAAATTAATTTATCACACAAGATTATCAGATATATGCGCCTACAAAATTTTATATACATATATAATTTTATAAAAAAATTATATTTTTTATAAAAAATATGTAAATAAAAGTTCTGTATATTTTTATTAAAAAAAAAAAACATACATTTTATTTTATTAAATGTAAATATAATGTTATTTAATGTTTAATTTTATTAAATAAACAAATACATTCTGTCGGTTTCTTCTAATTCATTCACTACTCGAAACCAGTCGCTGTTGTTTCACGTTGCCAACTCTCGCGACGCGGAATAATAACGCGCCGCGGAACCGCGCGCGCGGAGGGCCGATCGAAGAGAGCCGCAAAAGAGAATGCAACGTAA